CCGCCAGGCGCTGCAGTGGCCGGGGTCCACACCGCCAGGCGCTGCAGTGGCCAGGGTCCAACCCCAGGCAGGCACTGCGTGGCCGAGGTCCACAGTCAGCTCATCCCGCCCTGCGGCAGCTCTGTTCTGTGCCCTTTGATTGGTTTTGCAGTGCTGTCTCAGTCGCTCCATGTGTCATTCCCTCCCGCTCCCATGCCGGTGCTTGCAGAAGAGGGTCGTGCTGAGCAGAAGTAAGTGCCATCTGCCAAGCTGGGCGTGGTCTGCTGTGTGCTGTCCCCTCCTCTGCCCACCCAGGGGTCGGGAGCCTCATCCCTGCTCCTGATGGTGCAGCTGCCTGCAGAGCCTTCTTCACCAAAAGTCCAGCTCTGCCCCCAGGGGCCACGGGGCAACCAGCCACTGTCCCCACAGGAGCCTGATGAGCAGCAGCCAGGTGTCTCCCAACAGAACCACACACAGGCTTCAGCCAGTGGCTCTGGAACGAGCTTCCTGCCCCGCCCCCTGCAGGAAATGCAGGGAAGTGTCTCTGGCAGTCCTCACCTCAGACCCCTCCCCCTTCCCAAAAGCCCAGGCTGGGACAGACCCCAGCAGCCACTCCTGCCAGGCTGCACACCTACTTGCAAGAGAATATTTTAACTTCCTTAGCCCAGTTGTTCTTGCAAAGTAGAAACAACTGCTCCCCAATGCCACCCTGCAGCTGTGGAGGGGCAGACAGTCTGCTCACCTGTGGGCTGCAGCCTGTTCTGGCTGGACCTGGAGCGGGGCAACCGGACCTGAGCAGGGTGGGGCTGTGTGTTCCCAGCCCACCTCCCCTGCCGACCCTAGGCCAGATCCTTAGGACGCCCACTCCTCCCCGGCCTGCAGGGCCTGCCGGGCTCCAGGGTCTTCCTTTGACTGAGTCTCGGTGTCTCACTGGGGCTGCCTCAGACCTTCGGGTACAACCAACACACCAGTACCTCTGATGGCCACCCGCCCCAGGCAGATCCTAGATGGGGCTGCCCACCAGGGACACCCACCCTCCAGGAAAGCACCTGTGAGCACCTGGGTGTCTGGGCACTGCGGTCCTCAGGGCACGCCCTCCAGCCCCTGCAACCCTTCTCACCAAAGGGCTGCTGCAGCAGTCCACAGCACAGACCTTCCACACCCGGGGCGACCCGGACTTAATGGTGATAATGACCTCGGGGAGGGCCAGTGGCTGGCTGGCTGGAGAGCACCCACAGCCCCCTGCGGCCTGCAGGGCCCAAGCAAGGCTCCCAAGGCCCAGGGTCATCAGTCCACCTCAGGAGGTCTGAGGGGTCAGGAGCCTGCATTTCCCACTGGTCTCCCGGGAGGCGATGGGGAACATGTGGGGCTCAGCTCAAGGGGTGCACAGAGTGAGGCGCAGCAGGCACCTCCGAGGGCTCCTCCTGAGGGCCCTGGGGCAGGGTCTGTCCAGAGGGGAAAGCAGGTTGTCCAGTCACATGAGAGCCCAGGAGGCAAGAAAGAGCAGCTCGCACCTCTGCAGCACTGTGAGCACAGGGAGGCAGGGCACCCAGGCTGCAGAGCGGGGACCAGGGCCCACTCGGCGTGCATGTCCTTCCTAGGGGTGGCTAGAGAACTGCTGCCAAGGCCTCGAAAGCCAGCACGGGACACTTCCTCGGCCATGAGCCCCATCCGGGCGAGGAGGGACGGGTCCTCCCCAGCGCTCCCGGCAGCCAGCCGTGCCCGCTGGGCCAGTCGGGGTGGAAGGGAGGAGAGTTGAGCCTGTCCCTCCAGCTCTGAGGGCTTTCCTGCCCACTCCGAGGACTCCCATGGCCCCCACAGGGGAACAAAGTTCCTTCAGATGTCTGCTCCAGTGAGGCCCACCCACCTCCTAGCAAGCCCACTGCAGGGGATCCCTCAGTGACTAACAACCCATGCCACATCAAGAGTCCAGGCCGCATCGGGCAGGGCCACTGTCACTGGTCTCTGGTGAAGCTGACCTCTTGTGGTGGCGCAACACACTGACCAGCCTCTCCTCGTCCTCTGGGTCAGGGGAGGGCTTCCTCCAAGCCCACGTGGCCTGCAGCCAGGGCCCTCTGCGCTGAAGCAGGCCCACCCCCGCTGGTCCTGAGACCAAGGACCGCCAGGCAGCAGAGGGAGGGTCCTCGCCAGTGCAACCCCTGACTGGCCCCAGCAGAGGCGGGCCGCGCCCTCGAGAGGTGCACCCGCGTGGGAGGCTTGTGTGCTGTGGTGTCCCCGAGGCCCCTGCTTCCTGTCCTCCTGCCCAGGGCATGGCAAACTGCCTGCTCATTGCCAGTGCGTCTGCCAGGGGCACTCTGGTGTGGTGTGGTGTGGTGCCTCCCCGGCCTCTCAGTGGCCTGGCTGGTGACGGATTTCTCTGTTGCTGTTTCAGAAGCCCAGAGGTCATGAGCACCGTCTCAGGGACTCGGAGCACGACAGTGACCTTCACCGTCCGACCTGGCACCTCGCAGCCCATCACCCTGCAAAGCCGGCCCCCCGACTACGAGAGCAGGACCTCAGGAGCGAGGCGTGCCCCCAGCCCCGTGGTCTCGCCAACCGAGATGAACAAGGAGATCCTGCCCGCCCCGCTGTCGGCAGCTGCCGCATCTCCTTCTCCCACCCTCTCGGATGTCTTCAGCCTTCCAAGCCAGCCCCCTGCCGGGGACCTGTTTGGCTTGAACCCAGCAGGTCGCAGCAGGTCGCCATCTCCCTCCATACTGCAGCAGCCAATTTCCAATAAGCCTTTCACGACTAAACCTGTGCACCTGTGGACTAAGCCCGATGTGGCCGACTGGCTGGAGAGCCTGAACTTGGGTGAGCACAAAGAGACCTTCATGGACAACGAGATTGACGGCAGCCACCTACCAAACCTCCAGAAGGAGGACCTGATAGACCTCGGGGTGACGCGGGTCGGGCACAGGATGAACCTAGAGCGTGCTCTCAAGCAGCTGCTGGACAGATAAGGCCGGCTGCTCCCACCCGGACTCCCTGTTATAAGTAGAGATGGGCTCACGCTGGGATCTGAAGGCCAAGCGGAGTCTGAGCATCAACCCCGCTCCATGGGTTTGTCTCCTGGTACCCAAAGAAATGCTGTGGGCGTCCGTGGTGTGTCTGAGCCGAGGCCTGGAGGCCTGGCTGTCCACGTGGGGTTCCTGGGTGGCTTCTGTCTCAAGGGGACAGGGGAGGGAGTTCTAACACGGGAAGATTCCCAGCCTACCTCCCAGCACACAGGCAGCCTCGCTTTGCTGGGTCCACGAGGCTCCGTCGGTTTGGCGCGGGACCCCTGCTCTCGTAGGCAGACAGCGTACTCCAGATACCTCCTGAGCCTCCCTCCTCTGCTTCCTGGGCAGCTCTCATCACCCCAGGCCCCGGCACAAGGCCTGTCCTCAGTCCTGTGGCTTCTCGGAGGATACTCCGAGCTCACTGGCTCCCGCCTCTTCCCCGAACTTGTGTGCAGTGAGATGCTCCCAGAGGCTTGTGGGTGCCCTTCCTGGGCCTGAAAGGTAGAGAAACGCTTTTCCCTGTCCAGATCCTGTACCCATCTCCTCCTGTGATGTGCCTCCATGGCTCTTTGGCCACGAGGTTCTCGGCAGTGGTGGGCATTTGAGTGGGATCGTGCCCGGCTTTGCTTAGCTTTCTTTCTTTATTTCTGCAAATCTATTAGCATAATTCCAAGGTGGCCAAACAGATGTCACATGGAGTTAGTCAAAGCACAAAGTCACGATCCCAAGGAGGAAGGGAGGCCTGGCCACGGGAACCAGCCGGCGTGCAGCTGCCTGGGACCCCAGCCTCCTCCGGGACGCGAGCGGCTGCCTGCCAAAGAGCGTCTGCGTGGGCGGAGAGGGGCTCTGCCTCTTGGAAGCCTTTTCACTGAAGGCCTGCTGAGCTCTGCAAAGGCCAGAGCAGCTGAGCACCCACTTCAACGGGAAGGACAAGAAGACACGTGGTTTGTGTGGGCATGTGCCCCTTGGGGGAGCCATGTCCTCTCTGGGAGCTGGCAGGGCACTACGGCCTCACTAAGCCTGGCCAAGGGCAAGTGTCTGGGCTAAGCCAGCCCTTTTGCTCTTGGAGGCTGGGGAAAGTGGCACTCAGGGGCTGTCCACCTCCTCTCCAGGAGTCCAGGAATCCCACCAGCTTGTCTTAACAGTACAATGCGGTCTTGGGACCCCGTGGGCAGGGACTGTGGCCAGGACCAGGGTGGACAGAAGGTGGGCTGCTGGGTGTGGGCAGAACATGGATGCGTGCAGGCAGTCGGGGGAGGGAGCACTCTGGCCTGTGGTCGGAGCCTGCCCGCTTCCTGCCCGAGCCCTCGTCCTGAAACCATAACTCTAGCATCTAAGGGAGGTCACCCATTGAACATGGGCCACAAGACATCACCAGGCTTCCCGCACATTCTCCCATCTTTGGAGGAGACATGAATGTCAGGTTTGGTTTTATTATGATTTCAGAACTAGCCCAGCCCATCTCTAATTATAAAACATGGTTTTTCCTTTTTTCTTTATGCTCACGACCACGTGTCTGATGAGGTCTGGAACTCTAGAATGAACACGTAAACTTTAGTAATTTAAAAATCTTTCTTTACTGCAAGTTTAAATAGGTGTACAGATAGTTTATAAGCACAATATTTTAAGAAAAAAAGTGGCTGGTCTACTAGGCAGCCTTTGTGCACTTCAGTGCTAGAAAGTTAAAGAAAAAAACACTTTTGTGATTTAATGATACTATTTCTGTGGAATAATTATACAAGTATGACCTTTTTAAATCAAACTTATCTGGATGCATCTGAACCAGCAGAGCTGTGTTATATTTTCTATATTTGCTAGAACTTCATCATTGAAGGATGATTATTTCTTCAAAAGTGGTTACAATTCACACTAAACAGTTTCCTCCAAAAACAAAGGCAAAACACACCCCACACACACACACACACGGGCGCACACACACGCCCTTGATCTGGAAACCCAGGCTGGGCCTCCTGCGCTGCAGACCCTCACAGGTCCATCTTTATAACCTGACCCCTGGGCGTGCCTGGCTGCTGCGGCTCTCTATCCCACAGCTTTGGTTTCCATCTCAAGGTGACCCACAGTGCTCTAGAGAAACCCAGCCCAGACCCACAGCGCCTGCCAAGGCCTTTCAGATGTGTCTCCCGTTTGTGATTTTAGCATGTCAGGGGCCGCTCCTGGCCTGCGGGGGCTGCCCCTGTGCTCAATGCCAGGCAGAACAAGGCACGAGGCCTGTGGCTCTGGGCCTGCGGTCGCTGGGCAGCAAGACAGAACAAGAGCTCTGCTCCCTCAGAGGCTTCCAGCCACGGCGGCTGGTCAGAAGCAAGCTCCCGACAGCCTCGGGGCCGAGATCAGTCCCACCTTCGCGCCGTCTCATCCTAGGAATAGGAGCCCCTCTCAGACCGGCCCGACCCACCAAACACACCTGCTGCCACGCGAATCGGCCTCTAGCTCTCTTGGATGACTTTGCTATAGAAAGCAATAGTCCCTCCTCCAAATTGCCGCCCACCGTTCTCCCCCTTTGGGACACGTCAGGACCAGGCCCTACCCCGGGAACAAACTTAAACTGCTCATATAATGATCATGTTAATAGTACTCCAGGTTTTCAGATCAACTTTTGTTATATACTGTAATTTAAACCAACTGCATTTACATGCCTAGTTTCTGTAATATTGTGTATACAAACCAAAATCTCTCCAGATGTAAATTATGTATACCTGCCAAGATACCTTCTCCAGGACGTCTGTGCACATTTTAAGTTAATCCATATAATATAAAAATAACTCGATGTGACTGTTGATTTGCTGAATTTACACATCACAAAGTGAATTATTTGTGGTACTTTAGTTAATAAAATGGTGGTTTTTTTCCTGAGTTATTGAACAAGCAAGCATTACCCAGTTGATCTGGCAATGACTTCTCCGTGTGTAGGTCACCAGTACTGATCTTCCCATTGGCAGTTTGTTTTTGTTTTTTAAATACCATGTCTCCCACTACAGTCTGTGTAACCACACACATTCACACCTCCATGTTGCTCTTACTTTTGTGCTTTAATTCTTTTTAGATTTTATTAAAAAACAAAACAAAACAAAACAAAAAAAGCTCCTGTAATTTGCACTTTCTCCCAATCCTTCAATCTCTTGTACGGCAACCAAAATTACTGTAAAAAAATAAATATACTATTGCACTAAGGTTGTGGTTCTGATTGTGAACAGTGAAAACTGAATGAACTAAACAAAAAGTTGCCAAACTTGCGATCTAATTAAGTTACTGGAGACACCATAGCCGGCTTTACCTCCCTAAAATGGACCAGGTAATGTCTGTCACCAGAGAGGACAAATGCTCCTTTCACTGAGCTCACTTGGCTTGGTTCCATTTCCTTATTCTCAGTGTCCTGATAGAAATATGTGTCATTTCAGAGCTGAGCCACATCTGGCTGGCTCCGTGACATGTCTGTGAGCCTGGCACTGAGGTCTGAGTGCTGCTTGTGCGTGGGTGGGAGCAGCACCCTCGAGGCCGAGCCAGGCAAGACAGAGGCCCACACCCACGGGCTCTTCTTCTAGCCATAGGCCCTGGAGCTGCAGGCCTGGACACCCTCTCTGGTTACCTTGAGCAAGCAACATACCAAGTTCTAGAGCAGGAAGGAATTTTGTTTTTGGTGAATAAGCCTAAGCCAGGAATCCCGGGCTGTCCCTCATGCTTTAGGAAAGTGCGTTTAAACTGAGCACTGAGCCACTGAGGCTCTCCAGGGGAAACGGGCCCTGGTTCCTAGAAGGCTCTGTGCTGGCTCACTTGCCTCTTCCCAGCACTGCTGCGCTTCGGTCCGCCAAGCCCACCTACAGCCTCTGTAGGTGCCTGGTCCCTCCCTCCTCTCCTGGAAGTCCTCCCCAGCCTGTACCCCACAAGGGCACCATCCCAAGGTCTCTCCCAGGCCTCTGTCCTGGATGAGTGTTAGTCTGTATTGTTGGGGGGTGGGAAATCACTGGAAGACTTTTTCTTTTACTTGAACTTGATTTGAGGCATTTTAGCAGCCAGTGAGCTGGATGTGCTCATGTCTGAAGCCATCATGGACATCTGCTAGTGGGGAAAAGGCCTCTCAACACATGTGCAGGGGCTGCCTAGGCTCGGTGGGGACTTCAGCAGATCTGATCAAGTCAGCTCTCAAGCCGCTGTGTCCGTGACCTTGCTCCTGTGTGGTCCCTTAACATGGTTCTACATCTCCCAGTCCTCACTGTTTGATGTTTAAAACTACAACAGTCACCGTTCATTGCTTCTACTCTGGAATTCTCTGTTCATAGCAATTCTGAAACTTTAATATGAGCCTTCAAATAAATACAGAAAAGAAAAAAAAGAAAAAAAACCAACAAAGTTGTGTGCCTTGGGTGTTTTGAACCTAATCTGCATAAAAACATATTGTACTCAAATGCTGTATATTTAATGAAAGGATAAACATACCTTCAATGTATCAATGTAGCTGATAAATAGTCCTAGTGCCTTGTTTTCTGAACTGAGAAGCCCATATCAATGCACAAGGTAAAGCAAAGGCGAGTCGAGCAGTGAAATGTCGAGAAGACCTAGCCGTGGTTTGGATCCTGTCTCAGCCTAAGACTGTGGGATGCCCACAGACGCTTAAGCTAAAAAATAAAAGAACATTGAAACAAGACTGTGTCATCAATTACTTTTCCACTAAAATGCTATCACTTTCGGGACTTTCATTTAATTAAAATACCCACATGCATGAGATTCCTGAGCCAGAGTTTTGACAGCAGGGGTCTGCGGCCTTCCTCCCTTGAGTTGTGTCGCCCCCCAGTGGTGCTGGCCAGCAATGCTTATCCAGGTCAGCTATTGATCATTTTCCCAAAGATCCTGTCATGGAGTGGTTTTAGGCCATTCATCCCACTATGCCCATTTTTCATAAGTTTAAGGGACTAGTCACACCTGTCTCCTGAAAGGAGCATGATGTAAGCACCCCGTCAGCCCAGCTCTGGCCTCCTCACCACCGGCTCCATCTGCTCAATGGATGCTTCCCTGAGCAGTGGCATCTCAGATAAGTCTGGGCATCTGCCAGGAGCTAGCACTCTGCCTGTGGGATTCCTCTGCCAGGAGGGAGCAGTGGCACCATATTCCTGGGGCCCCTGCAGCAGCTGCTGACACTCCAGAGGGCAGGTGCCTTGTGCTGTGTCCTTTGTGTGTCCCTAAGCTGTCCAGCCACACACACAGAGCTCAGGAAGCAGGGGTTCCTCAGATCTGGAATCTTCCCCTGCACCATTAACCTCGCTGGACTGTCAGTACTACTGCTCCCCAGACAGAATCAGCTGTGTACCCAGATTTTGTAGTTTCAGGGACACATGGAGCCAGCAATCTGGGAAACTGAAGGCAGTGGTCAGAAAGGGGCTGCAGCTTCTCAGGACTCCATTCCACTTTCCACAGCCATGGCTTCCTCTGGGGAAGCATGTGCCAAGGGGCTGAGTCAGAGTGGGGCAGAGCATGACCTGTAGCCACTGGGCAGGATGGCCACCAGCAGAGACAGCCAGGTAGCCAAGCCCTCAGGCCTATGTGAAGGGGACAGCATGGACATGGCGAGGTCGCAGAGCTTGGAGGGCCCTCAGCAGCCATCTGTACCCTTGTCCTGGCACTCCTAGGAGGTAAGCCACCCTTCCACTGCCCAGCTGTAGTCCTGCCTGCTTGGCTGACCAAATCCACACTCTCCCAACCCCAAAGCCCAGACAGCAGGAAGAACACACAGCATAAGGCAGACACCAGAATCGGCCAGCACGTAGCCCCAGAGGTGGTCCAGCTGGACATCACAGTGCACCTACCCAGTGCTGTTGGTGCTGAGCACCAGGCAGAATGCTGCACCCAGAGTGTCCAACAGTGTTATGGGGTAGAAACTAAGAAAAAAACAAGCCATGCCAAGGTCCACAGCTAATAGAGACCAGGGTGTGTAGTGTAGCCTCCCGGGCTAAGTCCGTCTGCAGTGAGAACCCACAGGTGCCCTTGGAATTGGTACTAAGTCACAAACTGACAGTGACAAAAACACTCCCTCTCCCGCCCTCCTTCTGAAGTCATTTCTGCAGGGCCAGGTTCAGGAGACAAGTAAAGCAGGAACCCACCCCCTGAGTCAGCTCAGGACTGTGGGAAAGAGAGGCAACTCAGAGGTGATCTGCTTTCCTAACTCCCTCAACCAGGGAACCCTGGCCCTCAGGCACAGAGGACCTTGGGTGAAGACATGGCCACCGACATGTGGCCTCTGCCTTAATTTTCACAGGGATCCCAAGAGGTAATATCACCAATATCACCATACAGTTGATGATCCCCCTTCTCACAGCGCCACCCGGCATGTCCCTGGCCAGTTACCCACCCTGCCTGGGGCTAGGCAGCAGGGTGCAGCTCCACGGCCTCATCCACCTCGTCCACTACTCCAGACTACAGATGAGGTCTGGAGACCCAGCACCACTCCAAAGCTCCCTGAAGACGAGCCCTCACTACGAGTGCAGAGCGGCCTGGGGCCTTCCTCCCCAAGCCCTTCTGCTAAGCTCTGCTGCTCAAGGCTGTGCATCACCCAGAAACCTTCTGCCACATCTGCAGTGAGAACCCACAGGTGCCCTGGGAATGGCAGCCAGAACCAGCTCTGGTGCTCCTGACCCACCACAGCATGTTCTCCTCCACACCTCCCTCTGCCAGTGAGGACGGGGGCAGTCCCTTCCTCCTCTTCCCTGTCACCTCCAATGTCAGAAAAAGGCCCAGCAAATGACGGGGACACAGGAGTTGCAGGATCACACGCCACCCTGGCTTTGAAGCTTGACATAAAGCCAGAGGCATGAAGCGAACACAACCTTCCTTGCTGGCCTTGGGGCTGCCATCTGGGCGAGCTAAAAATAAATGCCCCATTTCCAAGCAAGAGTTTATAAAATGTGACCACGAAGGCCCTGAAAGAGACATTGGGACCTGGCGGAAAGCACACAACCTGAAACAAGTGGTACCCTGCAGGCAGCTGCCCGCTCAGGGGCAGGCAGCAGGGCCACCTTTCTCGAGAGGGCTTGGAGGA